TAGTAACTACCCTAGGGTTTTAAGATCATTTTACCGAGGCAACGTCGAGAGGGTCATCGAGGGACTTATGATCTTTAAACCGGAGGATAGCCACTAAAATCTCTCACGTTTCTAGAGTTGTGATTGTTTTTCCTAAGGCAACCAAAGTGGGGGTACCCTAGAGGTGTATATGTGCAATTGTGTTGTTTTTCAGTTATTTTTGTCTTTGCATTAGGTTTGCTATTGTTTTGTTTGTTATTCTTACCATACAATCCTAATTAGTATACATCTAAATAGTTAATAATTTGCAGTAATTAAAAGTGCAGAAATGTAAATCTAACTATTACAGGGCTTCGGGGAGGGGGGTTATTACATGTCCAAACTTTAGGAAAAATAAAGAAAAAACAGTAAAGTAAAAGTCCTAATTATAGTCTGTTACATCTAGTATGCAATTACAAAAATATAAAAATAAAGTACGAAAGGTAATAACGCGCGCGAATTGAAAGTACGTCTAAGAAATCCTAAGGTATAAAAAATATTTTTGTTTGTTTTTATTTTATTTAAGAAAATGATTAAATAAAAATTATATTAATTAACCTAAATCTAGATTTAAAGAAACATAGAAATAATTGAAGAAAATTGAAACTAATAAAAGGGAATTAATTCTATGTTCTTTTTTGTATTTTTATTATGAAAAGAAAATGAATTAAAATCCCAAGTTCTATTAATTTTAAATTAAAGAAAATGGTTAAAATAATTATTAATTAATTTGATAAAAAAAACCTAAAACTTTATTTTTTGTGATTTTAATCTATTTTGCTGATTAAATAAATTAAAACAAATTAAGAAAAGACATAAAAAATAAAACAAAAATATAAATGAACCTGAGTAGTAAAACAAAAACTGAGGGGTGCAAGTTTAAAAAAAACGACGGGCCCAAGTCTGAGGAGGCCCAGGTTCCCAATGGATCCGGTGAGGAGAGATTTTGGGGGCACATGGTGGTCTGCACGTTTAAGACGCTGGATCTTGATTAGGAAGTGATGTGCTGCTGGTATATGGTAAACACGCTTGGCTTTGAAGCACCCGATCTGCAAATACAACATGGGAAAAATGGAAAAGTTGAGGCCTGGGATCGAACCCAGGTCCTCCAGCCTAACACACGTAGCTTTCACCACCCAACCATTTAACTCAATTTGTTATTATATTAAAACAAAAACAAAATAAAGGAAACAAACATTAGATCCTAGTCAGTCAAACGCGCGCGTCATAAAATTTAAATGAGCCAATTAGATCGCGCGATATTGCTACGCCTGCTCCCAAACGGAGTCAACCAGTCAAAGACGCTGGAGCAGATCTCCGGTCGTCTTCTCCGGGCATGTCCAACACCAAACCTGCATTTTTGAATGTTTTGAATCCAGAAATAAAGCTTATTCCACACAAAATTCAAACTTGAGTTCGAATATGTCCTTAGATTCTACAGATCATGGCTATATCATCCAGTTCGAACCACGATCCAGATTTTGCCCTAAACATGGCAAAACCTTAATTCTTCATCCAATCTCTCATGTGTTACGTTAGAACAAATTAACATAAGGATATAAACAAGGATGTATGCATTAGATTTGCTTAAACTGTATGTATAAAGAGATTCAAATCATGGAAAGTTTACCAAAGTGGAGTGATCTGGTTGGTTGATTTCAGGGCACCTCAAGCGTGGGTATGGACTGGAATGGACTCCTGGGAGTCTCAGGAGCACAACACAAGGCTTAGATTTGATGAATATGGGCAGGGGTGGGAGGTTTGAGTTTTTGCAATTCTTTGAAAAAAATGATGATTTTGAGAGGGCTTCTTCAGGCAATGTGTGCGTCCATAATGCTTGCAGAAATGTTGTATAAATAGAGGAGGTGAGATTAGAGAGGAAATAGGGAAGGAATCCAAGCCATAAAGCCATGATGAAAGCAAAATCATTCCATTTGAAAACTTGCCAAATTTGAAGATTTCATGCCATGTTGAGACTTGAGTGAACCTGGACATACTTTGTACGAATAATGGGCCTAAACACTGACCCAAAACACTAACCCACATGTCCAAAACATTAACCTGTTATTTTATGCATTTATTTGGTATTTATTTAATTTTAAATTAAACAAAAATAAAATAAATGCAAATAAAATCAAAGGCATGAAAAAATGGATTTAGAGGTCCTTAATAAGGTCATGAGAGTTTTTGAACCTCAAAAAGTTAGGTCATTGACCTAAAAGTTCAAATTTGCTCAATGCACAACCTTTGAATTTTCTCAAATTTTCCCAACTTAGGAAATCCATAACTTACTCAATTTTTATCTCATGATAATGATCTTTGACTTTTTGGAAATCCCAATATGTCTACTTCAATACCTATTTTGATTAATTTTGCATTTGAGGATATTATCTTGATGTAAAAGGTCTTGGCAAAAAGTGTCTTTTGTTGACTTTTTGAAAATGACATGTAATGTATGAGCTTGTATCTTTCAAATGGTGCATTTCTTGAACTTTAGGATAAAAGATAAGTTGTAGGTAATTTGATTCTCTTAAAAACTAGCTTTGGTTGTGGGAAAATGGATGAAGTATGTGAAAGTTATGCTTGGTCAAAGTTCAGTTGAGTTTTCCTATAGAAACCCTAATTTATCCATTCTTGACTCTGATAAATTAAGAACATTATTTGAGGAATCATGATCAACCCTTGATAAAATTATTATTTTCACTTCAAAATGTTGATGTTGATAAAAAAATCTTGAAGTTTGACTGTATATTGGCCACAGTTGACTTTTGACCTAGTACAGTTGACTTTCAAACATTTGAGCCATTGACTGAGCAAACTTGTAGTGTAAGGCATGAAACTTGGCATGTACAATCTTGAAGACATATTAGTATCATGGAAAACATTTGATATATTTGGAGTTCACACTTGGTGAAAATTGAAACCCTAGTTGAAAGGCCATTACTTAGGAGGAGAATTTGTCTGATCAATTCTTGGTCAACCTTGAGCAATTTAAGACCTCAATGAGCATGTATTGAGTAAAAATGGGAGGGAAAATTTTGGGGTACAACATTCTCCAACTATTTCGTGATTATTATCATCCATTTGTTGTCTTAGTACTGCTGTAGAATTCATTGTAATTGTAGGCATCTGGGAAGGAAATTCAGGGGGTTTGATATTTCGACCCAGATTGTTTACGCTGACCCATACCCTTGTAATGGTGAAAAATATAGACACCAATGGGTCAACGAATGTAGATGCGTTATTATGCAAATTTTTCATCGTCGGCGTTGGCATGCCGTATGGCTATTCGCGATCATTCATAGGCATCGCAAATCAAGGAACATAAGGCGTACAATTGTTATTTCGCGCTGGTCTTGGGGTCGATGGTTGACCTTATGTTCTTACAGGAAAAAGCACTGTTCCACTTTGAGTATTTGACAGTATTGGTATCGTTCTCGCTGTAGAAGGTATTGTTTCGGTCACAGACATTGTGGTCGTATTGTCTATTATCGAAGGAATAGGTTGTTCTCCATTGTTGTTTGATGGATTAACCATTTTTCTAGCGTACTTCATTTTGGGCCTTGCTTCGCTAGTTCGAGCTATTCTACCACTTCTTAATCTCATGCATCAATGTTTAAAGAAAAAGTTTATTTTGAAAAATAAAATTTCTAAAACTAGACACTGAGTCCCACCAGGTGTGTCAACTTATTTACTGTTAAACTTAGTAAACAACCGCTAGTCTTCCAAAATCTAATTACTCTGATTAATCACATGATCGACTAGATTGATCCTAGGACGATGGTGTATAGTTTGTATTGTTTTTATAGGTTTTTTCCAGATATTCATCTCTTCGACCATAAAAGTAAATTCAAAGATAAATACCGAAGAAAACAACGAAAAACAACAAATGTAAATGACAAGAAAATAAAGATTTCGACTAAAGATCTAAAGAAGTTGTACATGACTTTTAAACATAAACTTGCATTGAATGATAAAAGTGGTGTTTTATACGTACATTTCTTAGAACTCGTTTCTCTATTACACTTTGATATTTTGAATGAATATGAGTGATTTGTATAATAATTAAACACACATAATCCTAAAATTAAAGACTCATATTTATACTAATTTTATACGAATGATTTTCTCATCAGAAGAGAACACGTTCTCACTTACATGTGTTCGATCCTACACATACTTTCATGCGTCGTTTGTACTTTATTTCAAATTATCCTTGTCGAACCCGTTTAAAATATTTCTTAAATGCTAAGTCTCAAATTTTATTTCTTTATTTTTTCAGAGTTCTTCCCTCTATCTTTCTTTTATTTTTAATTTTCACAGGTATTTTTCTGCCTAAAATAATTATTTTTATCCAAATTTTACAATAAACATCATCATCTTTTTTATTTTATCTAAAGTTACTTTATTTTTCCCTCAATTTCTTGTTCGAATATAAAAATATTTTTCATTATTTTAATGTTCGACTTATAATAAGATAGTAGTTAGAATATTAAATTCTTATTATTAATTTTTTTAAATCTCTAAGTTTGACCCGTCTAAAATGTATCCAAATCTAATTACGTGTCAATCCTCCATAATTTAGAGTCTGTGTCAATCAACGCGTGTCTTAGTTTTTGATTCTCTCTTATCAAAAGATGCAAACAAAACAGTAACAAAACAAAAGTAGTCTCTATGTTTTCAATCTTATCAACAGGAAGAAAAACAAACAAATTACTCCCTCCATCCAATGAGTCAATGAAGAGTGATTCATTTAAATTAAAATAATATTTTAAAATGACTGATTTATTTTATTTTTAATACTTTTTTTAATTTTATTTTTTAATTAATTAAATTTTTATTATTTTCAATATATAATTAAAGATACTATACTAAAAATATTATTTTCTTTTATTTAAAAATTAAAATAGTCGACTGAGTCGTACGAGGGAATGACTAAATTTTATTTCAGTAGCTAGTATCTTGGATTAAAACGCTAAACATCAATTATTGAGCTTTTTCTTGATAGCTTCAGCAGCATCAGCAGCTTCAACCTGTTTCTTTGAAGTCTCAAGTTCAGCTTCACTTGCTTCCTTCTCATTTCTTGCAGTTATAGTTTTTGCCTGTGTTTTTTTTCTTCATATCAATCCATTTAAAATAATAACAAAAAAAATAGAAATAAATATGTACAATAGTAGCTAAAAGATGGAAATATGGAATTTATTACCTGACCGACAAAGGAGGCTTTTGCATATGTAAATGTTTCTTGTATAGAAACAGCGAAAGATAAGCAACTGTTCTTAAGGCGAGATGCTAGAGAAGTGTTGTTGTGATTTGGTGAAGGGCTTGAAGATGGAGAACTTGTCTCTTCCATGCTATACTACGATTTTAGTTATTGACTTAAAAGATCACGATGAAATATTTGTGTCCTTTTAAGAATAAATAGAAAAATTAAATTAAAGGTTTTCCAAGATTGGATCCGGTCCTCCAGGCCCACGCCAAATGCCCATAAGACGAAGTTTCTTCTTGGCACCCCAAATTTTACTTGGCACCCCATATCCTTTGTTTTTATTTATATTTCCTTTTAAAAAAGTATTGGAGATATTTGAATTTTGAGAAAAATTCTGTAATTTTCCAGACATTTCATAGATACTATCAGGTATTTCGTGTTGATGACAAGTATGAATTTTTACCGTTTTTTTAAGTTTTTTTTTTTTTAATTTTCATAATTTTTTGCCACATATTTGAAAAAAATCCGATAAAAATATGAAGTTTTTTCGATATTTTTTGAAAAATTCGATAAAAATTCATACATTCAACTGGATTTTAAATATATATATTTTTCTAAATTTTTGAAAAATGCGGTGAAAATACATACATGTTATCAGGTTTTTTAAAAATTTTGATAAAATTACATACAGTCAATCGAACATTTTAAAAAACTCAGAAAAAGATATTCATTTTTATCACATTTTTGAGAAAATCTATAAAGTTCATAATTTCTAGATTTTTTTAAAATTTCGATAAGTTAAAAAAATTGTTTTATTTTTTAAATGGAGACCAAAGGCATAGATAAGAGTTGTTGTTGCGAGGGCTCGAGAGAGGGGAAGTGACGTAGATGACTCGCATTTCTGGGTAGAGAGAGTGGCACCAATCGATTTTTATAGGAGGTGGATGATCAATCAGGCTCAATTTCGTGCACTCCGCATTATCTAACTGATCTAACCTGATCAGACTTGGACCGTCACGGCTGGCTCCGAGCTGAAGTTTTGAACGAGGTGGGGGGGGTGTCTGCAAGGCACTCCGATGCTGAAGTAAGTAAGAGCACGAGCAAGCAAGAGTATGAGTATGGGTAAAATAATGAATACCTGACCCTCTGGGAACAAAGGGTATTTATAGCCCCCAGCGCTGGGCCAAGGTTCCTTCATTGGGCCGGGCAGGTTTGGCCTAATGGAGGAACTGCCAGGTTCTACGTGCATAGTGGAGACCCGCACGTGGTTCTCTCCCTGGATGTTCTGCGTGAAGTACGGACGGACGAGGACGCGGTCTTCTCGGGATCCAGGTGATGGCGTAGTGGATAGAGTCTGCCCTAGGGGGAGTGCTCGAGCTGAGGTCGAGCAGGATGGCATGGAGTCGAGGATGTCGCAATAGCAGAGAATGTCGGGCACGGATATGGCCTTTTGGTCAGCGTGACCCCTTGCAAGACCGTTTGGATTGGGCCTTCACCATTGCTTTTGGGTCAGCCCGGTCCAGTCCAGAACAGGAGCCCCCCAAGTCGTGGTTCCTGTAGTAGGAGCCATGACTTGATCTTAGGTCGCCTGTGTCACGGGGTCCCGTTCCCGGCTAGAATATGTCGTTCCCGCGGCTTGTTCGAGGAATTTTCCCTGTGTCGGGCATACGAGATGATATCGCGCGAGGAGCGCTCGGGGAGTCTCGACGGGCTGCGTTCGTTGGGCACATGAGGCATCTCTTGGGAACCGTGCCGCCACCCTACTGTCGATAGGGTCATCATTGCCTAGGGGAGCTACACGTCGAGGAGGGAAGTTTTGTGGCTCCCCGGAGTGACGTTTGGTATTCCACGTCATCACTATAAATAGGGTCTTTGGGCCCCAGAACGTGTTTTCCCTCTTTGCGCTTCTCCTCTTCACCCTGTTTCTGCTGTTATTGTTCTTCCCAGATACTCATAGGACCGCCGTGATCTCCGTCGCTGATTTCCTTTCTCCGTCGTCACATTACCTTCCTGATTCCAAGTAAGTGTCTTGTCTCCTTTGTTTTTCCTCTGTGATGCATGATTTTCATTGTTTTCAGACGTTTTTAGAGGTTGTACGCCTGGGATTAGCCCGGTAGATTTATATTTAGCTCGACAAATCCATGTTTATGCCCGGCGAACGCGTGTATGCGCCCGGTAAACGCATAGTTTAGGTATTTGACTCGCAGTGCTGCCCGGGGACTTCATGACTCAGGGCGCCTAATTCTTGGTAGTGCTCGGTAAACTCATGGCTCTAGTTTTGAGACCCATGACGTTGCTCGCCACGTATGTAGCCTGGGTCGACACATTCGTGAGTGGTCGAGATGTTGGCCTATTCAGGCGATTTGTAGCTTGTCGTGGTAACTGGGAGTCGGGGAGGTGACTGCTCTTTTTGTTCCGAAACACCAACTTTGTGGTCGCGCGTGGAGCGACGTGGTTTGTCGTGCCCTTCATCTCGTCCGTTATGGCGAGCGTGTGGTTTCGCTCCCAATTGATTGGTTTCCCGTGCTTTGTAGGTAACCATGGCGGACGAACCGTGTTCTTCAGGGCGCACCGAGGTGGAAGAACAAAGTGCTGATGAAAATGTGAATTTGGTTGACACCATAGAGGATCCTCTGTTGGAATGGGTGGGTGCCGAGCCCAGAGGGATAGCTTCGGCCTATAGTCGACGTAGTCGAAGGGCATACACCATCCTCGAGACAGGCAGCAGCCAGCCCGGTTTCCAGAAGAACTTCGTCGTCACTCGACCAACTTTCACCGCACGAATCTGCTCGGAGTTCCCCAAGTATGGATTCCCCATGTATGAAATTGCCTTCAAGGACCTTGGGTTACAGCTGCCCTTCAGCGATTTTCAGGTCGGGGTCTTCAGCCATCTGGGGCTGGCCCCGTCGCAGCTTCACCCAAATTCGCTCGCTTTCATCCGGCCGTTCGAGCTAACTTGTCGGTTTCTAAGGATTGGGGCGACCATACCCCTTTTCTTCAGAGTCTTCCACCTACAACGCCAATCCCGGGGAGGTAAGCATAGTTGGGTTTCCCTGAAACAGTCGAAGAGACTTTTCAGGATGTACATGGATTCCATGCGGGGTTTCAAGGACAAGTGGTATATTGTGAGGCCGGTTACGCAGCAGGTTTAGAGTCTGTGTATGAGGAGGAAACAGTCGTAACTGACGACCACGGGGAAGCCCTTTTAGACGACGAGGGACATCCAGTGTTAGGGCGCGTGGCCAAATTTCCCTTGCATTGGACCTCGAGGCACTACGAGCATGGCACCGGGTACTACCATACGTCCGCGGGCGAGATGAGCTCCAAAGACGAGAAGGCTTATGGTACTCTCTGTCGGTATGTCGACAGTTTCTTCCCCTCCAGATGGGCCACGGGGGAGGGGGAGGATATTCTAGACGAGGAAGGTTATCCGACCTTCGAGGCCCGACCGATTGACACGAAGGCACTTGTGGAGTGCCAGTCCTTCGGGCAGGATGCGAATTTGCTAGGTCGTTATTGTTTTTTCTTGTTTAAATTTCTTTACTTGTTATTTGTTCGCTTATTTGCTCGTCACTAACTCGGGGTTCTTTTATGCAGGTTTGATGGTCGGACGAAGGGAGAGGCTCTTGAAGTTGTCCTGTGACAGGAAGGTGAATAAGAGGGTGGTGAGAGCTCCTCAGGCGACGAGGATGGGCCGGTCACATAGTCCGGGCACTTCTCAGGCGACGAGGGTGGACTCGCCACCTAGCTCGGGAGATGCTTCGGGAGGGATCCCGGACGTCCAGGAGGTCGAGCCACACACTGACCTGATACAGAGGAAGAGGAATCGGGTGGAAAGTCAACCGGAGGTCGGTGAGGACTCCAGCGCTGTGAGGTCCTTCGGGTTGCCCCCTTGCTTTAAAGAGGAGGGTTTCTTCGAGGGATTTCCCTTGTCCGTGAGTGCCGATGAAGCTGAAACTATCAGGCGGATGAGCAAGGAAAACCGGAGAAGGCACCTGGCCGCCAATATGGCCAGGCTGGTAAAGATGGCCGAGATGGCCGTTGTGCTGGCCGAGGAGGGGGAGGACTCTGAGCATATCAAAGAGTTGGAACAGGAGAAAGTTGCCCTCACCTCGAGTTTGTGAAAGTTGAAGGCTGCTCTGGAGCGCTCCGAGGAGATGTTCCGCGAGCAAGCCAAGCTGCTGGCGGCGGAGACAGAGTTGCTGGCTCTTGAGAAAGAGAACTCGGGGAAGCTGGCCGAAGAGAGAGACCTTTTTCGTGCGGACCGGGAACGTCTGGAAATTGACAACGGGCGCCTCGCCATAGAGATCGAGGACCTAAAGGCCGTTATGCTTCCTGCCGAGGACGAGTCGGAGGATACAGCTCCTTTGAGGAGTCGATCGGAACTGGTCGCTCGTATCCAACTTCTCGAGGGGGACTGTGTCAGAGCTATGGCGGACGACTTTGAAGCCACGGTCATCCAGCTTTCCCTGTTGAATCCCGGCCTGAACACTGAAGGGGTGAGCCATATGTCTCAGATCATTGATGGTCAGGTCGTGCCTCCGCCCGACTCTCCTGTTGTTGGTGGTGATAGCTCCGGGGAAGCTGAGTTGTGAGATAATGATGGGGCCCGCGCGCCTTGTTGATGTTTGTTTTGGGTCTGCGTGCCCGTTCATATTTTTTGGGCCTGCGTGCCCGTTCTTTGTATTTCCTGAACATTGTCGGCCTTCTTGGTCGGTTTATATCTATTTGCTTTGTTGCCTATGGGCGTTTTGAATGAATGTTTGTTTACCCTTTTGATTGTTTGTCCGTGCTTGTGTTTTACGTTTTTGCGCAAAAATTGGCCTAAGTTATGGGCCCGAGGCGTGCCCGTACATGGTTGTGACTTTGTTGGCAAATTTGCCTAAGTCTTTTGTTCGTGTATGTGCTCGGCCTCTTCTCGATGGCCAGAGTCGCCTAAGTGGTGAACTCGAGGGGAGAGACTCCTTTTTTACCCTTTTAGATGGCCCGGCGTTCTTCGAGATTCGTCGGGCATGCGGAGCAAAGCCGCTTGGTCGGGTATATGATCTGGATCGGGGTTATTTGCCCGCGGCGTGAACTGCCCATCGTGAGCTGGGTGTTCTGCCCTACAGGTACTTCGACGGTGGAGCTCGATAGAGGTGTCC